AAAAAAAAGGAAAAGTGATATGAATATTTTAATGTTTATCAGTTTTGAAAGGAGGCTTTTCATTTCAGAGTGTTCGCAGTAGCATTGAATAGCTTTGTGTCTACTGCCACATTTTCCTTTGTCTTTCTTAGCTCTGCACTCTGCTCTGTGCCATGATTTAGGTGTTTTCTGACAAGAGAGCTCAGTTTAGAGCAGCAAGCCTCAGAAACTAAGTGAAAGTGAATCTTGAGCAAAGGGTTAAACTGAGTCTCAGCTGTTGTGTGAATAGGAAAGAAAATTTTCCATCCAAACGTGCATTAATAGTCATGTCATATACAATCTACTTTATTCATATTTTGGATGGTCTAACAGATACTATGTGAACTTCGTCCAAAAGTCACCTCACTGTCTAATTAACATATAAGTCATATTTTAAAAACTGCAAAATTTACAAGCATATACATTTGTAGAAATAATGGCATATGAACTTTTCAGGTCAATGAACTGTCCAGTATTTATTTATCCAGTATTTATCATAAACTGAAACATATTTCTCATTAGACATGGGTGATCTGTTGTGATAGAAGTGCTGAATAATAATAATCATACATTTTGCAAGTGCAAGTACTTGTATGTGCAAATCTAGGGTTTTGCATGCTCTAATAAGGTGATTTTCAAATTTTGAGGCACATTCATGGGTTTCTGAGAAATTTTACATTTTCAGCAGGAGAACTCTGTTATTGAGTTATAAAATAATTCCCCTTTCAAATGTTTACATACCTTAAAAATATAGTCAAAGGATTTCAGCGGTATAAAGCTTGTTAAATTAATGGAGTTGTAATAAAAAGCTAGTACCTATAAAAGTTTCTAAGATATAAGCAGTTAATTAAAAAAGTATAGCAAAATAAGTTTGGAAATAAACTATCATGTATTTGTTGTGTACCAACATCTTAAAAACTTTCAAAAAGATCACACTGAAGCCAATTAAAAAAACTAAGGAATAGGACAAATGGATGGATCAGAGAAGTCTTTTTTTGAAACTTGAAGTTTTCTTAATATTGCTCCAAAAATGCATATATAAAAGAAATTGAGAAATAATTGTTTTGCCTTTGCAAAAAGTCAACCTAATGAAAACATTTCATGTTTGTTCCAGATTTTCTTCAAAAATATTGAATGTAGTTGTGATTCTTTAAGAAAAATACATTGTTTTGTTACTTATATATAACAAATCAAAATAACTCCATAGATTGAAGAAGAAATTTGGTTGGGGACCTTTTTTCCTGATAGAATAAGTTTTGTTGTATTTTAATGGCTCTGGTCACTTTTTCTGTCCCTGACCAATATACACATCCCTGAAATATGTATATGGTTCTTTCAGTGCTTGCTAGAAGCATATAGCCAGACAGGATTACTGATTTCTGAATGTCGGATGATCATAAGATACTGAAGAGAAGGAAAGTTACTTCCTGGACATCTCTTCATAAAATGAAGATAAGCGATGCAGCTATCCCTACACCTTTTGGCCAAGACTCCACAGTTTCATAGTTCTACTTTTTTAAGACCATGAGTCACATTTCAGCACTGTAGAAAAAGTAAGGGTCAGGTCTCTACTGCTTAACATAAACCCAATATAGACAAAAGATGGTGGGAAAAAGATGGTTACTTGCTAGGAGTGAGAGGAAGAGCTATATTGGCAGGAGTATGCAATACGGTGATCTAAAGTTGAGTTCATGGAGTACAATATGTGACTTACATCTTACTGAGCATTTGCTCACCAATGCTACTCTGCAGTGTGAAAGTATAAAAAAACTCTGCAGTGCTAAGTACGATTATTATTAAATACTGTTATTATTTCCAGCAAATAATAAAAAAGACTTAGGCTTTTAGGAGTGCAAGTTTTTCACACTGCTGTAGAAGTACTGCAATAGATTTTACACCAACCGCTTGCAGTTTTGATTTTGCTCAAATTAGGCTAATGCTTGTGATATGGCAGAAATGTGGATAAGCAACAAAAAAACCCCAACAACATTCAGGATGGGAGCAGGGAGTTTACAACTTCTCCAAATTAAAATATTTTAAATGTCTTAATAAAGAGAAACATAAAGCAACATATTCATTAACTAAAACTGTGCTAAGCTTTTACTTTGTGCTTCTGTGATTACACTCAGAGAGTAACCTTTGGACCAGGCTCTGATGACAATGGGTTAGTTATGCTAAATACACACCCTATTTTGTAAGGTAGCTAAGGAAGCAGTGGGAGAAAAAATATAATCTTTTGCATTAATTATATTAATCACTGGTAAGGGACTAAAAATAGTTAATTAGGGGATCATTTAAGTTAGATGTTCTGATAATTTTGCAGCCTGATTTTTCCTAGATGCAGAGCACCCATAAATCAAGTTTAGGTAAAGAAGTCAGTCACTACTGTTAATAACAATACCAAAAGTAACACAACAAGAGGGCACAAACTGAGCTATTATTCCTTTGGTGTTTGATAGCAATTTAAATTTAAGAAAACAAGTACTGAAATACCTTAATACTCATTATGAAACATACAGGATAGTCATAGAGAACAATGAAATAGTTAAAAAGATGTTGCTCATTGCTGAACACTTATGCTACATTTGATCATGAAGTTGTTAGCTTTTTGGATATTAGGTGCAAAAAAGTGCAAAGAATATTTTAGTTAACTGTTACAGTACCACATTACAAAAAGTATTTTCTAGGCCACAAAGGTCACTGCTGATACCATTTATATTAAGATAAATATATACACAAAATAGTTTTTCAGTCTCCACATATATAGATATATATATATCTCTTTCATGTCAATCTTGCAAAATCATGATGAAAATTATCTAGGCCACAGAATCTCAGGATGATAACAACAATGGAAGGGAAGAAGCCCACAGAGGAGAACTTGCTCTCCTATTTAAAAATTACCCAGAGCAAATGGAGGAATGAAATTCTGCAAGGCTGCTCTGTATTTATGGTGATGAAGATACAGCCTTGAGCAGGGAGGACCAGTGTTCAGAGTTACCAACCCTCTCTGGGAAAAACTGTTTCTGCCTATAGACCATGAATAGAAACCTGGAACACAATTTATTTATTTGCTTGCTGGAATTTTAAGACCAGCCTTCCTAACTTTTGTGGAGCAGTTAAGACACTTCAAGGCATATTTGACTACCTTAGAGATTAATTAATGGACTGGAGGCACTGGATCTGCATAAAAGCATTGTGTGTCAACCAGGGCAAACTAACCAAGCCAAAATGGTTCTTCCGAAGTCTGTCTAAACTGCTTTTTCCCTTTATAACTAGATTAATTTTCACAAACTCTTCTATTATCATAAACCAATCTTCCACTGGCATTTTTCTCATGTACACTTCTGTAAAAACACTGTTTTGGAAAATATTATCTATCTTCTCAGTTTTCTTTATACTTTACAAAAAAGCCACCACCTCAACTCTTTTCCAGTTGCAGTTCAGCTCTCAAAATCTGAGTCGCAGTCATGAAGTCTTTGCTATACTCTTCACAGACAAAACACCCCAACCAACCGACCACCACCAACAGAAATCCAACAACCAGAAAAAAGAAAGAAAATAACTATCCAATTGAAGTAAGCTTCAGTGTTAAAATGAGCTAAATCCACAAAATATGTAGTTCTCTTCTAGTTTTTAAAGCAGCTCACTTCAGCCAATACTTTTTTGTATTTGCTGTCACTGTGTAGTCTAGTAAATGAGTTTACTAGTTTATAAAATTGTTACAGTTCAATTATATTGACAGAAAACATATCTCAAATTCATATTTAGCATAGAATACTAGAGGCATCGAGCCGGGGACCAGAAACTATTGCATGTGAACTGTGCACTTAGTCAAAATAACTTCAAAGAAATCTAATACTGTCACACTAAATCCAGAATCAGAAAAATGTTATGAAAAATTGCAGTTTTTCATAAAAAAATGCAGTTTTATGAAAAATTGCAGTTTTTCATGATTTTTTTTAACAGCTAAAAGTCATTATATCAATTCCTTTAAAGTGTTTTCACATCTACAGTTTGACCTCCGTGAAGACCAAGTAAGGACTGCATGATGCTAGTGGCAAATGAGCTGCTTCAAAGGGGCTGGATGCACCTTCTCAGGAGACACCTATGTCTGTGGAGCTGCATCAACTTCCAGACAACTCACTGCAGACACATTAGCTTTCCAGATCAATACCTGTACATGTGCTGTTCAGTGTCATGCAGAGACATCTGAGCTAGCTCTTCATCAGCCAGTGGGTAGCTGAAGTAAAACAGCCTGGCTGTTTTGGTGAACAGGCTAACAGGTTCTTCTAGGGCAGCCGGCATCTTGATTGCTGGAAGATTGTAACTGCACAGATCCAGTTGTAAGACCTGTTCCAAAGGCTGAACTAAAACCCAGGTGAAGCCAATAGGGTCCTTCTCATTGGCTTCAGTGGGCTTTTGAGCAGCCCTTCCTCCATGCCCAAGGGATGAATTGATCTTCAAACACCCAAAATGTGACAACAGTTGTTTTTTTCATGCAATATTCAGTTTGAATTATTATTTTGAGAAATTACACAGGATGTAGTGCAATTTAGAAGAAATTTACTACATTAGCTATACATGACTATTTGCTCTCTCTCAAAAGAATTAGGCATTACAAGCTGCAATGAGTGGTTTTGAATTGCTTGAGAGATTAATTTTTTTTCTGATTTCTTTGTCTATGCAAAGATATAGGTCATATCAAAGCACTGCTTGGATATGACGCTGGACACATGTCAGCAAGAAAACAGGTGAATGAATTTGTATGAGGAAAGGTTATATTTGGCTCAATTCAACTTCATTCATACATTAAGAAATTATTATAAACTGTAATAGAATACTTAGAATAGGAAAAATGTATTTTAATAAAAAAATATGGATACAGTTCATCTGCAGAAGCCAAACCTTCTGTTTATGTAAGATGTGAGCTACAAGGGAGCTTTGGACACTAAACATGATGAATCCACTCTTGGTCCCTAGGGCGTAAGCGGTGGTTTTGGTGATGAACAAGATCCCTGGCTATCAAAACTGGTTGCTCTGCCAGGTAACTGCAAGAAAAGTGTTAAATGTTAGCATATCATGATCATTTCAGAGGATGAGAGACTCCCTCAAAGAACCCAAATCAAATCTAAACCCTTTCTTGATCAAAGTCTCCAGCAGAACTACTAATGGGAAGAAAAATCCTAAAGTGAACTAAAAATGACTCAGTCATTTCAGAGGAGTGGGTTTATTTCACTAATTGGGGGTGGTACCTCTGTTTCCCAATTTACATAATCCAGACAGAGCCACGCACCTGTAAAAATAGGTTTCTTTGCTGCATTGATTCGATTTAGTTGCACTTATACCATTCTTTAGGTGTTTTCTGCTGGGCTTTTTCTACCTGTCACTGGACATACTGTGCAGTCATGTGCAATGCAGTGGGGAAAACAAAATCGCCCATAATGCCTCAGACAGGAACTCATTTTTCTGCAGAGGTTGCTTTTGGTAAGAGCTAAGCAGTGTGTTGTCTGTGTCCCAAAACACTGCCGTCTGCTTCTTGAGTCTTCAAATGAATCTTTCCGAATCCAAAGCTGTGAGCATTTTGCATACAGAAAACCAGTAAGATATGGCTGCAGCAGGTTGAAGAGGGAGTCCAAGCCCACAGATTTGTAGGTATAATTACTCATTTATTTGAATAAGCTTCCAGCAAGTGCCTGGTCGAGTAACTCTGGAGGTATCTGCTGGTATGTTGCCTTAATTTAGCCTAATTAGCAGGCCAGCTTCAGATTAATATTTTAGCAACATATCTGATCATGTTAAAGATTTTTGAAGAGGAAATGATTACTTCTGAAATATTTGCAAATGATCTCTTCTAAGTGGATATACGTTCCTTATCATAATTTCTGGAAATTTATTATATCTTTATTTATTCTTATAATGCCATCAGTGCAGCATGGAAACTTTTGAAATGGCACACTTAAGTAACCAATAAACCCATGTAACTAAATTTAGGCTGTGCTAAGGATCATAGAGCTTCTCCGTAGAGACTTCACTGATTTTCATGATTTTTAGAAGCACAGAAGCATGAGAGAGACAGAACATTCAGTATACTGAGAAGCAGAAAATTTGACTACTTCTTACCTCTAGTAGTGGATGCCAGTGTGTTATCGGTTTACGTGGGTAAGCCAACATTTCATTCCAGTGATCTCTTCCAAGCCCTTCAGCATCAATTCCTGTCCGACATACCCCAATGACCTCATTGTGCCCTACTCTGAGAATTGAAGGAAGGCAATTTTTTAAAAAATAAAACCAGTTTTAGTAATATCTGATGTAATTCAGTGTACTGGTTTAGTGCAGCACAGAATACATGCACAAAGTTTCCACATTATCTATCACAGATATTAGTTTTAGCAGTAGCATAGTAATATTATGGTCTAAAATGGTAGTGTCAAAAAACCTCCAGCCACTACATGCTTCTAGTAGCTATAAAAATTGCAATGAAGACTTAACCCTTGCCATTAAAACGTTACAACCCAAAGAATACAAGGAGAGAAACGGAGCATAATGCACCAAATGATCTAGAAGGAATGCATGCTGAAATTTTGTCAAGAGGAAGGTGAAAGAAAATAGTGCGGAATACATTTCCTGCTTCAAATCCTTCAGGTGTTATTTCACACTCTATTTTCCAGCTGTTACTGTCGTCATCATTAGAACTTCAGTCAGAATTGTGGAAGGCAAGAGGTATTGCCATGACAGGCTATGCCTTAATACTTCATACTGCTGGCAGTGCCATACAGACTTGTTGAGGAATTCCAGAAAATAATTTCTGTACCTTTCCCATATGTACGTTAGAATGTTTCCTAACTTTCTCTTACCAAATACTTTGAAAGGAGCAGCTGAAGAGACTGAAAGTGTGCAGGCTGCTGTTCTTTTCTCTTCCCAACGGCACCATAGTGCCCTTTCACATCTGACTGAGAAAGTCTTCCTGACAGAAGTTGGAGGACAATCAGAAATCTAATGGCAAGGAAAAGCAATCTGAAGGTTTGTGTTACTAAATTTGACTTTCCTTGTTTATTTGCCCTGCAATCTCAAGAGCTCACTACTAATAGCACTTGAATGAAGCAGACTTGGCTTGGGCTTGATTCTGTCAGTCACTGTCTAGTTTAACCTAAAGTCCTTGAACATCTCTAAGTAGGAATCTCTTCCAGAAGAGTTCTCGGTGAGGACATAGAAAATTGAGGCTCAGATGTTTTATCAACCAGGGCTGAACCCAAAGGTTACAAAGATTCTCTATTGACTCAAATGAAGAATTTATTATTACTTAATTCAATGAGGCAATTAGCATCTAATTCTATTATAGTAATCCTTTTTTTTTTTTTTTTTTTTAGTTCAAATATGTGCCATTTAAATAGAAATTAGAAGTGTGAGAGACTTTTTTAAACTGGGAGACATATGTGATTTATAAAGATTTTACATAGTCCAGCCACCAGATGGGGAAAGAAATGTATGCCAAGGCTAGTGGCCCGTAAGAAGATTAAGACATGTTTCTTCTGCATCACATTTATTTATGACACAGACAAAATGGCCTGAGCTCTAAAAGGTGTGGGAGCTTTAAACCTCTACTTCCTTTTAAAGCAAAAGACCCAAAGGCTTTATCTTTTGTGACACTAAGTTCAAGGAGATGGAATGCAGTTGCTTGCAATGATCAGGTAACTTCTCACTGAAGATTAATGGTAAGAAAGCAAACTGTGCTTACCGATCGTAATCCATCACTGCAATGGAGAGGCTGACCTGGTCCACATTCTCTGGAGGGATATCAAAGATGATGGCCTCATTATAAACGGGATTGAGCGTGTTTTTCTTTGTGGTAGTCTTCCGCTTTTTCAGTCTTCGCCCCTCACACATCAGTGACACTTTGACATATGGATCTGAGTAACAGACAATCAGTTGCGTGCATTTGGACTCAAAGTCATTTAAATGTGTAGTATAAGAGCAATATATTTTTTGTAGGAATGTCATATGAATAAAACAATGCAAAAGAAAAACACGGGCATTCTGAATAAGACATGGTGACTGCCAGACCAAAGACAGCCAGTAGATCTGAATAGTGTCTATACCCATTCTGCTGCTTCTTCCATTTCACAACAATGTTAAGCACACAAAACCCAAGGAGTTCTTATTTGTCCCCTTCTTGCCTGCCTTCTTATTAAAAAAAGTAGATTCACCTGATGCGCCAGTTATGTCCATTGCTTTGAGATTCCTACATTTGATGACAGTTAATGTCATTCTCCCGGCAGTAGGCAAATAACAAAGGGAAAACATGATCTCACCCAAATCTATGCTCTCCTGAAAAAGAAAATAAATGATTAGCAATCTGACCATACTGCCAATAATTCAGTTCAGATCTCGCAGAAACTTAGAATTTCTTTTTTAACATGAAGAGACTTGTTTTGCAGCCTCACGTGCTTCTGAGGATGTCACAACCAGTGTCCAGAAATTATTTCTATAAAATACTGAAAGGGTGCCAACAGGATAATATTTTAGTGACAGGATTTAGAATTAACAAATAGAGAAATTATTAAAAAGCAGAACCAAAACTTTCTGGATTCCTGATATGTTTGTGTTGCATTCACATAAATGAAAAGGTACGGAATGTGGAAAGTCAATTTCTGCTCTTGAAAAGACTCAAACTCCATTATTTCCAATAGAAAGAAATTTGGTGGGATATTTAGATCACATACATTTACATGACTTTTAGCCACTGGAATTTATGTAGGAGATATATTCCTGCACATATGTATGCATATCAAAAGTTTATCCTGTCTAAGTGCTTTGAAAAGATGAATGTGCTGGTAAAAGCTGCTAGTTTTATTGCTCTTACTGTGCTTTGAGGGGTGCTGCTCTGGAAGAAAAGCAAAATAACGAGTAGCACCTACAACTTCCCTGGCCCAACAGCAATTTTTTTGAAGATAACATATTTGGAAAGGTGGATAAGGTCCATGTGGATCTTGATAATCCTCAAGTTTCTATGTTGAGACAATGTGCTGTGAATTCATATAATATCATGTTGCTGTACAATACAGATGCTGCAAAGTTTGAGAAATGTAATCTAAGGAAGAGAGGTTCCATCAATTCTTATTTTTTCTTTTCTCACAGTTATATATACAAAAGTTTACTTGTTGAGTTGCTAGTTATGTCCTAAATTGTTCCTTTTAAATATAACCCCAAAGAAAAGAAAGTTGCATATTAAAAACAACTTAGGATTTTTAAATACAAGCTTACAAGGAGCGTGTAAGGAAGTCACTTCTGTATGGCAGCCACTCTCAAGCATGCTTATGTGATTGCAAAGGACTTTCTCTGACCTACTACTAAAAGGTTTATTTTTAATATCTCAGGTCCAATATTTTATCTGTTAAAACTATAGCTACCCTGAGAGTACAAATTTGTTTGAAAACTGCTCTATTTATAGTACAGCTGCTCTAACATCAGAAGGCAAGCGTGATAAATCTTTAAATGATACATAATGATTGCTGCGTAGATGATAAATGCATTACTTACAGTTATAAGACAGACTGGGACTTACTCCTCACATTTAGCTGCTTATTTGAACATTTTTATTGACTTTATTTGGCTTAATATTCTGCCTAAATTAAAATAAGCACTTCAGATCTTTCTTGATTAAAGATGGACTTCATCACATGCTTCAGGGAGGTATTGTTGTTTGTTTATTTAGGGTTTATTTTTGTCATTTGTTCTGTTTTTTTTTTCTTTTTTTCCCTGCTTTTCAGTCTTTAGATTGAAGAATGCAGTCTTAGAATAGCTTTAAATTCTTCGTTGCACTGTTAATGAAATATTGACTTTTGTGTAGCTTGGTCAACTCACATGTTCAGTCATTTTTCTAGGATTCTGTTCTGAGAATTAGTAGATTGATAAGCATGTGAACATGTACTGTGGGCAAATTTCATGCTTGTCAGGATTTCAGGATTTCAGATTGCTCAGGATTTCAAAATGATTTAGCTCATTCAGTCCACATAGGATAAATACAGCTATTTGACATCTCCTTAGCTCAAGTCCCGTACATTGCCACACACAACACAGAGTTTTGTGCCACAGAGTACATTAATAAATTCACTTTTCTATTCCAGAAAATATAAATAAAACTTGAAAAAATGAAGTGTAGTTCTTTTCACTCATTTGTTAAAGTTGCAAGTGCTCTCTATTTTGTCATATCTGAAATCTCTTTAAAGCACAGCTTCTGTTATGAGCATTACTTTCTGAATTCAGAGTCTGATTGTTGTTCCTCATATCCATATGCCAAAGAGATCTCACTTTATTGTTTGAAAAGGAAATAATGTTACCCCACATCCAGTGTTTCAAAGCTTAAGGTCTATGTTGAGAAAGGTGATGAAGATGGGCTGGATCATAAAACACAATGGCCAGCTCATGAAAGGGACTAATTCTTTGTTTTTCAGAGAAATTACTTATATAAGTGAATAGAGAAAAAATATTTTTTGCAAGATGTGAGTATGAACTTGAGTATTCTATTATTTCTTTCTCAAGAGAAATTGGGTAAACACTCAAAGGTTTGGGTTAGCTCAAATGATAAACGAGAATACAGGCAGAGCTATTTATCATCACTTTTATACTTTAAAAGAAGCATTATGCAAAAGACTTGAAAACTCCATATGGTGGTTACTTTACAGTAGTTTTTTGAAAAGCAGAGAAAAGCATCAATGCTTAACAAAATGGCAAGCATTTGATGCTTATGCTCAGTCCTTTCTTTCCTTTCTGAACACTATGTACTGAAGACATATTGGAAAAAAGCTTGGAAAATCCCCTGCAATCAAATCTAGTGTTTCTGACTGTGCAATGAATAAACAATATGCCTTAATGCAAAAAGAAATTCTTGAACAACGAATGTGTCCAAGCACAGCAGACTGTTCAAAGGGCAGATATACTGAAGTTTACCAAAGTTCTGTAACCTGTGTATTGACTACTCAGTCTGACATGGTAAGGTATGATTTTAGGATTAGGAAAAGGCTCTCTATCACACCACTGTTTATGCAGGCATTTTCTGATACTTAACACCTGGAAAAAATGTGGCTTGTGCTGCCCTGAAAGGCCTGATTTTCTTATTATAGAACGACAGTCATTTAGCTCTGTCCACCAATTCAATAGACAAATTCTGCAATACACCAGAATAGACATTATTTTAAATAAACAGTCCTACCTATATCAGAGATATTTGAGTCATTCATTGTGATTTCAATGGGCTGGAAATAAAAGTAGTAGTTACCCTGCAGTAATCTGTAGATACCATTTAACTCTACTCCTGGTGGAGAGAACTGCCCATCATAGAATGCCATCAGAGACTTGGATTTCCCATGGTCCCCAGATTGAGTTAAAATAAATGTTTGTTCAGAATCCTTCAGAGAACTCTGATATTTTTATCTTTTAATTTAATTTGGTACTAGTTGTGGCATCTGATGTTTGCTGACAGTTTTGTAGACAGTATCTTTTTGCTTAGTAAGGAGTAGAAATTCCAAGTACTTAGTTTCTACTTTTAGTATCTGCTGAAGTTGGTTATGTTTGAGTGAACTGATTATATTTTATTAGGACCTCTACAAGTCATAGGGCAACTGGGGATTAAGGCATTAAAATGCATCATTAAAATAAATATTCTTTGGAAAACAATCACACAGGCTAACGCCCGAGACTTACAATCTTTCAAATGTTGTTTTGAAGGATTAAGATTAATATTCTGCATAATATGATAGCATCAGAAACTTGAACAGGGATATCACCATTTCCCCCCATGCACTTTTTTGTTAACTTGAGAACTACAGGTTCATTAATTTGGAGCCGAAAATATAGGTTCAGACCTAAATAATGAACAAAGTAAAGTTCAGCATTTAAACTTCTCATGGCAGTCTTTCTCTGTCTACCACATTGTTTATAATGAGTAGCATTTTTAAATGCCCTGGATCCTTCAGTATTATTGATTTTAATTGAGATTTAAAAATAGAATTTAATTACTTCAG